GATTCACCAATGTGCCCCACGCTCTATTGCAAACCAACACAATTTTATTTAAAAATAAACACACACACACACACACATTCCTTCAACTGGGCCACTTCAGATTAGGGATCTCTTCAGCCTTTTCTGGAGGGATTTAAAAAAGCTTTGGAGAAATCTTAAAGCTATGGAATTAGCCTGGTATTTATAGCTCCGTTTCCATGAGCGTTCTTTGAGCTCCCCGGGACGTTCTTTTCCCCCATCTGCTGGATGTTGACACGGTCTAACCTCGCATTTTGATGAAGAAAATCGATCAGAAAAAGACAATTTTGATTTTTTTTTGTTGTGCTGGAGAGCTCTGTCACAATTTCAGGTGGCTCCACTTTGCTACTTGGACGTAATTTGTGCCAGGAACAGCGCCGCGGATTTTCCTGCGCGGATTCTCCAACGCGGATTTTTCTGCACGGATTTTCCTGCGCGGATTTTCCAATGTGGATTTTCCAGCAGAAAATCAACTGGATTCTCTTGATTGATTATGTCAAAATTAATTAATTCCCAATTATGACTGATGTTCCACGTGAATCACAGCAGCACAAAATGGTGTTTGCTCCCCATTGCCATGCTGGTTGGATACAATGTGTTAAATCCAGGTGAAAAAAGCCTTTTTTTCTTGGTTTTTAAATTTTTATTTATTTATCATTTCATTTCATTTTTATTCTTTATCTTTTTTATTTTCTTTTTTCTTTGGTTTTTTATCATAAAGGTCCACTTTTGGGTGCACTGCCTACCTTCCACCTTGAACTGCAAAAGTCTTCATTTTTTCAGTGCTGGTTGGATAAAATATGTTAAATCCAGGTGAAAAAATATATTTTTCTTTCTTTCTTTTTTTTTAAATTTTATTTATTTATTTTATTTTTTTATTCTTTATCTTTTTTTTTCTTTGTTTTTTTATCATCAAGGTCCATTTTTAGGTGCACTGCCTGCCCTCCACCATGAACTGCTAAACTCTTCATTTCTGCAGTGCTGTTTGGATAAAATCTGTTAAATTGAGGTAAAAAAATGTGGTTTTTTTCTTTATTTTCTGATCATCACGGTCCCTTTTTGGGTGCACTGCCTGCCTTCCACCAAAGCATGAACTGTTAAGTTTTACTTCCCTACCTCAGCACCATCAGATGTAGAAGATTCCTGATCTTCTGTTTATTTTTTTAACAGTGCCTCAAATATTTCGCCTCGAAACTTCACCGCCACCGTGTAAAATCACAAAAAAAAAACCCCTAAAAAGAAAGCTAAAAAAAAATTAAAAGAAAGAAAAAATTTTCAAAAATTCAAAAAAAAAATTTAAAAATTATAAATAAAAATAAGAATAAAATTAAAAATATAAGTAAAAATAAAACAAAAAAATTAAAAATAAAAAAAAATTTAAAAAAATTAAATAAAGTTTCTCAGCTCAATAAAAACATCCAGTATTTTGGAACACTCACCTACATTGCTTCTCATGGTCTTGTTTCAAGTTATCTTGGGGTTTTTAGGCTTTTTTAAAATGCCTGCTGCCCTTTGAGCTTAGCTTTAGACAGTCCCCTGTGGTGCTCTCGACGATGGGCAATGTCCATTGGGGTCGGCTCCTCCCCTCATCTCAGGAACTCCTGCACCCCATTAATTCTGCTGAGAGANTAAAAAAGCTTTGGAGAAATCTTAAAGCTATGGAATTAGCCTGGTATTTATAGCTCCGTTTCCATGAGCGTTCTTTGAGCTCCCCGGGACGTTCTTTTCCCCCATCTGCTGGATGTTGACACGGTCTAACCTCGCATTTTGATGAAGAAAATCGATCAGAAAAAGACAATTTTGATTTTTTTTTGTTGTGCTGGAGAGCTCTGTCACAATTTCAGGTGGCTCCACTTTGCTACTTGGACGTAATTTGTGCCAGGAACAGCGCCGCGGATTTTCCTGCGCGGATTTTCCTGCGCGAATTTTCCAGCGGAAAATCAACTGGATTCTCTTGTTTGATTATGTCAAAATTAATTAATTCCCAATTATTACTGATGTTCCACGTGAATCACAGTAGCACAAAATGGTGTTTGCTCCCCATTGCCATGCTGGTTGGATACAAGGTGTTAAATCCAGGTGAAAATGGATTTTTTTCTTTTTTTTTTTTATCATCAAGGTCCATTTTTGGGTGCACTGCCTACTTTCCACCACGAACTGCAAAACTCTTCATTTTTGCAATGCTGGTTGGATAAAATATATTAAATCCAGGTGAAAAAAGGTATTTTTCTTTCTTTCTTTTTTAAATTCTATTTATTTATTTATTTATTTTTATTCTTTATCTTTTTTTTTCTTTGTTTTTTTATCATCAAGGTCCACTTTTAGGTGCGCTGCCTACCTTCCATCATGAACTGCAAAACTCTTCATTTTTGCAGTGCTGGTTGGATAAAATACATTAAATACAGATGAAAAAAAGATTTTTTTCTTTGTTCTTTTATCATCACGGTCCCTTTTTTGGGTGCACTGCCTACCTTCCACCACAAACTGCAAAACTCTTCACTTTTGCAATGCTGGTTGGATAAAATATATTAAATCCAGGTGAAAAATTATTTTTTTCTTTGTTTGTTTTACCGTCAAGGTCCATTTTTGGGGGCACTGCCCCTTCCACCATAAACTGCTAAACTCTTCACTTTTGCAGTGCTGGTTGGATAAAATATATTAAATCCAGGTGAAAAAAAGATTTTTTTTTCTTTGTTTTTTAATGAAGGTCCATTTTCGGGTGCACAGCCCCTTCCACCAAGGCATGAACTGTTAAATTTTGCTTCCCTACCTCAGCACCATAAGATGTAGAAGATTCCTGATCTTCTGTTTATTTTTTTAACAGTGCCTCAAATATTTCGCCTCGAAACTTCACCGCCGCCGTGTAAAACCACGAAAAAAAGATTAAAAGACCAAAAAAAAAAACTAAAATAAAAAAAAAA